GGCAGAGTTGCTCTGCCCCAGGCTTCCTGGAATCAGCCACTGATCAGTTTCAGCAGCAGCTGGCTTGGGGTTCTTAAGTTGAATCTGTATGTAAGTCAGAACTGGCGGTCAGTTTCTGCAGCGGCTGAATCTGGACGCCAGTTCCGACTTGCATACAGATTCAACTTAAGAACAAACCTACAGTCCCTATCTTGTACGTAACCCGGGGACTGCCTGTATTTCGAGCAATTTCAAGGGAAGACTGCGGCCGGACGGATGGGTTGTCCGCCTTCCTTAGACAGATCTTCAAAGTACAAGCAGTAAAAGACAAGTGTATATATACTCTCCCGTTACATACGTCAATGACTAATAGTTACCTTCCTGCCCACACAATTCCCTTCAGATGCTACCTTATCTCAAAGTTCCTGCTGGAGTCAGCATTCCATTCTTCTCTTTTAAAGCGAAGCGAAGACTGCGTCTCTTACAATTCTCGCTCTCACATGTAGGCCTGAGGGTTAGCCTGTCTCTTGCTAACATCCTAAGATGGCTGCACACAAATCCCTGCACACACTAAGATGGCTGCACACAAATCCTGCGTCCACACTATGATTGCTACATTGTTTGTAAAGGCATCTCTAGACTGAACCAGAGTCTGGTGATCAGTTGCTTGATCTTGGACCATAATTAATGTTTGTTTGTTTTGTTTTGTTTTGTTTTGTTTGTAATTAACTACCTTACTAGGGATGTTAAAATGCATTTAGTTATGTAATCATGTAATCTCTGAAAATGTCAGCAGTTACAGGATTATACATGGGAAGCAGGCAGGAGTCGGTGTGTGCAAGGAACCCCATGTGTACTTGCTTCCACCAGTCCCTGTGCACCCGGGTTCCCACCTGCCCATCAGAGGCACGAGCGGTGGGGGGCGGAGCTGCATGTACCCTCGCACATTAACTGATGAGCCCAGGCTCATTGGTTAACTGTGTACACAGTTACACCTTCACATCCCCAGTGCATTTTTTGTGATTGTACTGCTTGGTACGCAGTACCGGCACCTCCAGTCAGAGCTTACCTGGAAAGAACGGAGTGTACTGGCACCTCTGTAATGAAAATGGTCAACAGTCGGCTGGGCTGCATTTCTTAAAAGGTCAATCCAGTGCATTTCTGAGAAGTACATCTTCTAACATTCAATTTATTTGAATAGTGTTCTCTAGAAAACTGCTGTAGGAAAGTTTATGAATTCTGATACTTATGAAGTAGTTGATCTACACTTGGTTTATTGAAGACTTGTATGGGGCACTCTCAAAATTTTGCCTACTAAACGTGTTTATATTTTAACAGGTGTTTTTCCACCAAGGAGAATTGTGCATCATCTCACCATCAAATACTCCTGGAGAAGAGCCTTGGCTACCTGCCAAGAATCCAACAATCCTGCAGTCCCTAATGCTATTGTCTGCATACCCAGAGGATTACCTGGCCACAAAATCTATCAGAACAGCAGTATATAAACGCATCAGTGGGTATGTGGATTATTTTTTTTCCTGATATTCTTTATCAGGATATTCTGATACTGAACTGTCTAGGAACTTTCCTGTTATCTAATTATCTTATCCATTTTCCTGTTAACTATAAATTGGTTAGTATTATTCAGACGACTCTGCTAATTTCTGCACCATTCTTATGGTGGGAACCCTAATAATGCTAGTCTGTACACTATATTCTGATCTCACCAATGACGGATCAGTAGTTCAGGGCTAAATTCCAAGCTTTTGCAAAAGAACATTATTATTTCTTATTTCATTACTTCAGGGAAGGCTAATAGAAGTTAGAGCCTTTCTACAAAAGTATGTGTCTGGATCGCTTCCTGGACTCTTAACTAAGACACAGAAGTAGTATGTCCTTACAGACAATCACCCTGCCTTCAGGGATGGCCCTGCTCATGTTTTCAACAGGGTTGTTTTTCTTTTTTGTTTGTTTTTTGTTTTTGTATTACTGCATATCACAGGTATCCTGAGAAGATCCAGGCCTCCCTTCACCAGGCTCACTGTTACCTTCCAGCAGGCATTGTGATAGTGTTGAAGCATCGCCCTGCACTAATAGCTGCAGCCGTCCAGGCCTTTTATCTGCGAGATCCCATTGACTTAAAAGCATGTCGCCCTTTCAAAACTTTCTTGCCTGACACCCGTGTAATGACTGCAGTAAGTGATATTATTGTCACTCTACTGACTGCTTGATTAATGGATTTGTTCCATAGTCATGTTAGGAAATGTATGACTTTCAATTTTAAAACAGCATGTTTGCTAATTCATTTTTCTTGAGGGCAGTTCTGAATTTATTTGCTTCAGGAATGTTGGGTCTTACCACTATCTAATCCAACAGGAAGGGGAACTAGATTATAAACTATTAGTTTTGTGCCACCCTTCCCCAGTGCAACCCTAAAATTACAATCAATCTAAATTCCCTAGATACTTTTTCTCTTTCTGCCCCCAATAAGTAGAGGAAACTACTTTTTCAAACATTATTTTACAAGGAGGATAGTATTCTGATACTTTTTTCTTCCTTCCATTGCTCCCACCACCTTCCTTCCGCAACAAAGTGAGGCCTCTCAGCAGCCACCTGCTAATTTTATTTGTCAGTAAGACCTCACTGAAGTTACCCAGCACCCAGAATGATGATATTGAAATTGGTAATCCCCACCCCCATTTTTTTAATGTCACAATCTGAAATAACATTGTGTTACTTTCAATGACCATAGGTATAAAATAAAATTCAAACAAAAATGGTTTTTTTAAAATGTTCTAGAAAATCATGCTACAACAGGTTTTATTTCTTTTAATTTTGATGTCCACAGGTCACATTCACTAAATGTTTATACGCACAATTAATGCAGCAGAAGTTTGTTCCAGACCGACACAGTGGATATACATTGCCTTCCCCTGTACACCATCAATACAAAGCACATGAGCTAGGCATGAAACTGGTAATGTCTTTTTACATGTCTCCTACATTTTGTGTTTCTTTTCCCCTCTAATTCATAGTTGGAGGGTGTGTGAATATTAGGAGTCCCTTTTTGTTTATCCCTCGCTTGCTAACATATAGAAGTTGGAGCCAAACAGCAGTTTATACCCCCCAAAAGGATCATAGAACACTAGAACTGGAAGAGACTTCAAGAGGTCATCAAATCCAGTCTCCTGCTCGGACCAAACACAGTCTAGATCAGGGGTCGGCAACATTTTCAAACCAAAGAGCCAAACTACATCAAAATTCAGAACAAGTGATCAACAAAGAGCTATATAAGAATGCCCATTTGCGTGACTGAAAATATATAACTTATTATGTCAATTATCAGTAATATTGATTAATAGTAACATAAATGAAACATTGTACTCACAAACTTTATTTAATGGGACTTCTGCTGCATCTTTTTGCACATTTCTTTGAAGTTTACATCATAACTGGTCAAATCCAGCTTCATGCACACATTCAAGCTGTCTTCTGTCAATCTTATGGCAGCGCCTGGGGATTTGGAGGTGCAGAAGGCTGGGTTGGGGTGTACGTGGGCCTCAGGGCAGGGGACTCAGGTGTATAATGGTGTGTGTGAGAGTACAGGAGTGTTATGAAGTCTGGGCCCTAATTGGGGACTTGTTGTCCAGGCTTCAGTTTTAAATTGAGTAAAATATTATGTCCAACACACAAGGTTTCAACATTGTCTTTATGGCAAAATTTATGGAACCTTCCAGGGTTAGTGGACTTTGTGGACCCTCTCTAGGCTCTGGGGTGGAGCCAAAAATGAGGGGTTAAGTGTCTGGGACAGGGCTGCCAATGAAGTGTATAGGGATGGGAGTGCAGGAGGTGGGAATAGGAGGGGGTCTGGGTGGGAAATAAGGTGCAGGAGCAGGCTGAGAGGAGGGGGCAGGAGTGGGCTGTCTGGCCAGGGGGCTAGGAGTAAGCTGTCTGGCTAGGGTGTTTTGCCAGGGAGCAGGAGTGGCCGGGTGCAGGGTGTCTGGCTGGGGTGTGTGTATGAAGGGGTGAGGATGTGGGTTCTGGGCATTTTGCATTTTTTGCAACAATGTCACATTGTTGACTCATGTTTAACTTGTGGTCTGCTATGATCTCTATATCTCTTTCTACAGTACTCCTTCCTAGACAATCACTTCCCATTCTGTATCTGTGAAACTGATTGTTCCTTCGTAAGTGGAGTACTTTGCATTCGTCCTTGTTACGCTTTATCCTCAGATCATTTTTCTAGTTTGTCTAGATCATTTTGAATTATAGCCCTCTCCTCCAAAGCACTTGTGACCCCTCCCAACCAGGTATCATTTGCAAACTTAATAATATTCTCTATGCCATCATCTAAATCGTTGATAAAGATATTGAACAGACCCATTCCCAAAACAGACCCCTGCAGAGTCTCATTTGTCATGCCCTTCCAGCATGATTGCGAACCGTTAACCATTCTCAGAGAGTAGTTATTTTCCAGCCTGTTATGCACCCACCTTATAGTAGCCCCATGTAGGCTGTATTTCCCTCGTTTATTGATGAGTAGGTCATGCGAGATCATGTCAAATACCTTACTAACGTCTAAGTATACCATGTCCACTGCTTCTCCCTTATCCACAAGGCTTCATATCCTATCAAGGATAGCTATCAGATTGGTTTTACATGATTTGTTCTTTACAAATCCATGCTGGCTGTTACCTATCACCTTATCTTCCAGATTTTTGCAGATGAATTCTGTAATTATTTGCTCCACTCATTATCTTCTCTGGTGCAGAAGTTAAGCTGTCTGATCTGTAGTTTCGTGGGTTGTTCTTATGTCCCTTTTTATAGATGGGCACTAGATTTGCCCTTTTCCAGTCTTCTGGAATCTCTCCTGACTTCCATAATTTTTCAAAGATGATAGCTAAAGGCTCAGATACCTATCGGCTCCTTGAGTATTCTAGAATGCATTTCATCAGACTCCAATGATTTGGAGGCAGATTACTTCTCTAAGTAACTTGTAACTTGTTCTCTTTTTTTATTTTCACTTCTAAACCTACCCCATTTCCACTAGCATTCACTATGTTAGGCATCCCGTCCCCATCAAACGCCTTAGTGAAAACCAAAACAAAGAAGCCATTTAGCACCTCTGCCATTTCCAAGTTTCCTGTTATTGTTTCTCCATCTTCACTGAGCAGTAGGCCTGCCCTGTACTTGGGCTTCCTCTTGCTTCTAATATATTTGTAGAACACTGTCCTGTTACCCTTTATGGCTCTAGCTCGATTGAGCTTGTTTTATGCTTTTTTCCTTCTAATCTTGCCTCTGCATACCTGTGTTTTTTGCTTATATTCATCCTTAGTAATGTGACCTAGTTTTTACTTTTTATAAGACTCTGTTTTGATTTTTAGATTATGTAAAATCTCCTGGTTGATCCAAGGTGGGTCTCCTTCCATACTTTCTATTTTTCCTACACAGTGGAATAGTTTGTTTTTGGGCCCTTAATAATGTCCCTTTAAAAAACTGCTAACTCTCTCTTCAGTTGTTTTTCCTCTTAGTCTTGCTTCCCATGGGCTCTTACCTATTAAGTCTCTGAGAGTATGTATACACAGCAGGGCTAAAGCTGAAATAAGATATGCAACTTGAGCTACGTCAGAGGCTTAGCTGAAATCGAAATAGCTTATTTCAGCTTTTGGCACTGTCTACACAGTAGGAAGTTTGAGTGCTCTTTCTCGGACTTCTCTTACTCATAAAATGAGGGTTACGGGAGTCAGAGTAAGAAGTCCTCCAGTTTGATATTATATCAAAATAATTGCTTATAGCAGTGTTCTGAAATAACAAAGTCTGTGTCTGTCATATGTTCCAAAATAATGTTGCTGTGTAGACATATCCTCTGCTTACTAAATCTGCCTTCCTGAAATCTATTGTCTCTATTTTGCAGTTCTATTTTTGTTGTTCTCCCTTCTACCATTCCTTAGAATCATGAACTCTATGATTTCATGATCAATTTGACCCGAGCTGCCTTCCACTTTCAATTTTTCAACCAATTCGTCCCTATTTGTTAAAATCAAATCAAGAACAGTGCCCTCCCCTCCCCATTTCAGTCCAAGAACTTATTGGATAATCTGTCCCTTGCTGTGTTAGTTTCCCAACATATATCTAGATAGTTGAAATCCTCCATCACCACCAAATCCTGCGCTTTGGTTGATTTTGTTAGTTGTTGAAAAAAAGCCTCCACTTCTTCCGCCTCGGTAGGTGCTCTGTAGTAGACCCCTAGCATGACATCAACTTTTTACCTCTTTTTAACCAGAGATTCTCAACAAGTCTGTCTCCTATGTCTATCTCAGTCCAAGTGTATACATTTTTAATATACAAAGCCGCACCTTGTCCATTTTTTCCCCTGCCTATACTTCCTGACCAAGCTGTACCGTTCTATACCAATACTCCAGTTGTGTGTATTATCCTACCAGATTTGTGATGCCAACTATGTCATAGTTGCGTGTGTTTATTAGCACTTCAAATTCTTTCTGCTTATTCCCCATACTTTTTGCATTTGTACATAGGCATCTAAGATACTGATTTGATTTTGCCCCCCTCTTCCCCTCCAGTTCTGCCTTCTCCCTCCTTTTTCTCTGCTATTATAGCCCATGCTCCTTCCCATTTTTTATTCATTTCCCAGGTCTCCATGTTTTTCACTTATCTTTGGTCACCTGCCCCTGTTGAACCTCGTTTAAATCCCTCCTCAGTAGGTTGGCCAGTTTGTGTCCAAACACACTCTTCCCCTTCCTCAAAAGGCGAAACCCATTCTTTCTTAGCAGTCTTCCTTGGAACTGCATACCATGGTCAAGGAAGCCAAAGCCCTCCTCGCTAGACCATCATCTGTATGTATCAGCTGAAGAGGGTTGTTTTTTTTTTACTGATTGAGCACAGGTACTTTCCTTTCCCCAGTACGTTCCCTTTTTCTCAAACATTACTCTCTTCCTCACTCCACCTCAATCTAATTCCCAGCCATGCTTCTCTCAAGTCATTAAAGCAAAAATCTTGTCTGTCCTAAAAAAATAGGAACCCATAAATAATTACTAGTGCATTTCTTTCACTCCAAGTTGTACCATAAGGATCCAGATATTCTTTCTTCCATGCTGTCTTTCTTGGTAAAACTAAACTTTATTCTAGAAAATTGGAAATAAAACCTTTGTTATTGCAACCCAGGAGAAATAGATGGGCCTCCTCTTGGCGCCTGTCCACCTCTCTTAGTTGTTAGGATTGCTGCTATTGTGAGCAGGGATCATACTTATCCAGGATAAAACCCTCAATATTTTCTGATTAATAAACCTCCCCTAAGATCCATCTTTTTCTGCTATTCAGTTGAAATGCTGAACTTTAGTTTCCCTTACCATGATATAGATATCAACTGAACATGTTTTATTGATAAGTATATAATATTTATGCTGACAGCCAAAGCCATATTCATTCTCCTGATTACCTGAATTTTTGATTATCCAGTTTGGCTGGATAATTGGGGATCCATTGTGTATATTTCCCTCCTCCTCCCCCCCCAAACATAAAAAACTAAAGGTTCTCTTTAAAAAAATCCACTTTTTTTTCTTTGCAGCAGCAAAATGGATTTTTAGGATCCCTAGTCATGGGATCAGCCTCTTGCTGGAAGTTGAGAACTTTGCCTCTTCAATACTCCCAAACTGCCATGTCTGAGGGAGCAGGCAAAATAATTTCTCTCCTGGCAGAGTGAGGAGCTTACTACTTTTGAGTTCTTTGTGCAGTCATTTAAAGCAAACTTCAACAAATGTGTCATATTTAAGAACTTGTGTTTCCTGTATCTCTCATACAGGCTCATGGCTTTGAAATATTATGCTCCAAGTGCAATACAATTTCTCCTGATTCTAAGGGGAAAGTGTTAAACAACCAATTTTGGGCTGATTTCCTCAACAACCTGAAGAAAAATAATTATTTTAAGGTAGGAACTGTTTCTGTCTTTCTTTGTGTAACTCGGGAAAAACAAAATGATCTTTCAAATGTGTCAGGGTTAATAGCAGATTTTAGGCACTGATTGAGGGACATAATTCCTTTCATCATGAAAGATAAGCTAATTTACCTTTGTATACAGTACATTTTCTTTTCTTTCCCCACCTCCACTAAAGTTTAGAATAATTTTTTTCAAATGAAAAGACGTTGTAGGATTTGGGAATGAGCTCCTACCTACCATAAATGAGAGGATACAATTGAGAAAGGAAGGAAAGAAGTTAAAATGACATGTGCTGCTTCATGCAAGTGCTTTTTTTGCATATATTGAAAACAGTAATATAAAATTGTGTTGAGAATATAGTTTTGTAATGATTTTCTTTCACAAATCATATACAAGTTGGATGTCCTTGACTGGTCCTGGATGAGGGATTTTGCCAGACCAGGGGAGGTTATTTTTGGACTTCTGCCACCGGCCCCCCCTGGTGCAGCTGATGACCTTCTGCTGGTTCTCCACCTCCTGCTGGGCCCACTAAGTAGCCATCACTGCCGTCACTCCGGGACCTGGTGGGCAGCTGCATGCCGCCACACTGAGGTTCCAGGACCATGCTGCAGTTCCCCACCCCGCCAAGCTACCGCAGCTCCCAGTCCAGCCAGGTAGCAATGCACTGGGTCTCCCAACCCCACTGGGCAGCCCTGCTGCCATGTGCTGGGTGACCCTGCTGTTAGCTCACTGCAGACAGCCCACTGCCCTACCCGCCCCACAGGGATCTTTGCCATTCGTCCTCCACGAGGAATCTCTGTCCTGCAACATCTGTGTCGGACCATGGATGTTGCCAAACCAGAGAATCCCGGTTAAGAGAGTTTCAATCTATATGCTTAAATTCCGTATTTGGAATTTAACATTGCACATTGATCCGTCTGCTCTCATGCAGCTGATAATTTTAAAACCCCAAAGTCTCTTAATTTCTTGGCTTATACTTTATGTTGACAACTCTAATCTTTTCAGTATATTTGCAAAAAATTATGAAATGCAACACCACTCTTATGAATGTAAATGTGCAAAAATTAGAAAATGTGTAGTTCTCACAGCAGCTGTAATTCTGCCTTTTTGTGTTGTCACTCTATATTAGAAATATGTATCTGTGTCTGTCTGTCTGTGAGTCTGTTTAGTTTAAGAACGCCTAAATAATAAGAGCTAGGACAGCCACATGGGTATGCAGCTTCCTCTTAGCATAACTTAAAGCAAGGTAAAGGTTTGGTTGTGCCAGGATAATGGAATGTTCCTTAACACAAAAAGGGAGGGGTCTGATAGGAGGGATAGTTATGCTCCACAGTGACCACAGGGGGCAGCTGCACCACTAAGAGAGTTGCCAACTGTGGCCAGGTCTGTGCATGTTGCAGGTCACCAGTCTGGGTAAGTGGTCCCTCCTGGCACATAACTTCATGCCAAACCCCCCCTCTCCCTTGGCCCCAGCGCTGGGGTGGGTAGTCTGCTGCCCCCCCCCCAGGGAGCAGGAGTCAGGGCAGGGGATGGGAGGTTCAGGAGTAAGGGGAGGAGGAAGGGAGGTTTACCAGGGCTGCCCATGGAGGTGAAGGTGGCGCTGCTCTGGTAAACCTCCTGTGCCCTGAGTCTTGTGCCCTCATCCCCTGCCCTGACTCCTGCACGCCCACCCGATTCCTCCCACACCTCTCAACCCCCTGCTGTGAGCCCCTTCTCACCCCCCAAACCCTCACTGCTGCAATCCCTTGTTCTGAGCCTCCCCACGCCCACCAGTCCCCTGCTCTGAGCCCATACTCACCCCAAATCCTCACTCCAGCCCTCCAAAACACCAGCCCCCTATTCTGAGACCCTCCTACATTCCCCAGTCCCCTGCCCAGATTTTAGCACCATCCATAACACTCTGCGACTCCTGCATCTCACCCCACCCCCCAAAAAATATTTGAGGACCCAAGCAAAGCCGAGTATATCTGCTAATATATTAATATATTCAGTGTGATTGTTGCTGTGGGAGCCATAACTTTGCATTTCCTAGTTTCTTTGTGTATAAAATTAACTATATTGTTGCATAACGCTTTTTTGGCATGTTTTCTTTTTAATTAATGACCTATTGTGTTAGCAAATCATATGCCTATTTTCTACCCTCTACGTTATGGCTAGGTGGGGAAAGTAATTCTTAGTAGAGAGACTAGGTGCATGAGGTAATATCTGTGTAATCTCAAAAGCTTGTCTCTTTCACCAAGGGTACATCTACACTGCACTGCTATTTTGGGGTACACAAGCCACCTTTTATTTCAAAATATTTTTTGAAATAACGGGTGCTCTATTATGCCATTCTGGTGAGCCTTGTTGCGTGAGGGCTAAGGAAGGGATGGCTCGAAATAGTGTGTTCTTTCAAAATTGGCACTATGTAGACATGTCAAATTTCAAAATAAGCTATTTCGAAATTCAGTTGAAATAAGATACATAATTGTGTGTCTTATTTCGAGTTCAGGGTGCTGTGTAGACACACCCTAATAGAAGTAGGTCCAATAATAGAATTACCTTACCTGCCTTGTCTCTGTTGTATTCTAGGACCAGCACTGCTGCAATAACACTAAAAACAATCGTTACCAGTGCTTTTTTTGTTTTTTAAAAAAGGGGAAAAAGTGCCGGTACTAAGGTTTCAAAAAATTTGTTGGTTCCTCCCTCCCCCTCCTCCTCCCTCCTCCAAATAAAATGCTGGGGAAAATTTGTCAAGCAAAAAAAAAGCAAAGGGGGAGTAACCACCTGGGAGGTCAGAGCTGAAATGCGTTCATGACCCCTTTAACTGCTACATGTCTTCTGTCTGGCGCGGCGCAAGTGTTCCCAGGGCCGGCTGGGGCTTTGCCAAGGGAAAACGGCGAGTGCTCCCAAAAAAAGGTGATGGTACCATCACAAAGAAAGCACTGGTTGTTACTGTCATTGCTTAATTGCTCCTTGTTAGTGCAGGCTGTAGTTAGTTGGATTTGTTCCTAAAGAGCCAGTGTGTGCAAACCAAATTAACCAAGAAAACTGCTTTCTAATAGTCATCCCCATTTCACTGCTAGCGATGGTAGTTCTGGATACTGCTATGAAAATGAAGTTGAGGGAGAATTTGATACATTAGTGTTGGTGACCTGTTTTCAATAGGGAGAACTGGAAGGATCTGCTAAGTACCTGGAACAGCTGCATATGGCAGAGAATTATTTCCAGCAGTCTGTTATCAAACCTGAAAGGTAAGAGTTACTGTAAACTGATATTGTTAATGTCTGTATGTTAAATTAGATTTCATGGGATTTTACAGATGAGGGGGATTTTTTTTCTTTTAGTTCTGTTGCTGTGAGTCCAGGTGAAGAAATCTTGACCTTGCTACAGACATTGTCCTTTAATTTGGATGAACTTGAAAAAGAAGCTGCTAGTCTTCCTCCAGAAGACGGTGAGTGAAAGTGATGTCGGGGGAAATTGGGAACATCTTGTTATATCAATCTCCATGTATATTCAGTTTCAGCCTCTGTGTGGAGACTGTCCCAACTTTTGTGGTGGTGCTCATAAAGAGCTCTCTACAAGTTCTTTTTTGTGTAAGCCACGAAATTAGACCTGGGCTGTTGGCCCAGTGTAATAAAATAGTGTCTGAAGCATTTCTGAAGAGACCTCCTCCACCAATCTCTTTATAGCTTTTCTCATCATCACACATTTCAGTATTTCCATATAAAGTACTCATTATTTACAATTAGTACATGTTGTTTTAACATTGATCTTGCTGATTCATATATCCATTATAAAGTGGCAGTATTCAAAATTTGGTCTTGTAGGTTGACACACATGTTCCCTTTATGTTCTTTCAGATGACAGCTGGTTGGACATCTCTCCAGATGTTCTGGATCAGATCCTGAATGAGGCATCAGGTAGGAATGTATCCATTCCTCCCTCAAATGAGGAAGATCAGAAGTATGACTTGGCAGCAGTCACTGAAAGCATGAAGGCTTTTATATCCAAAGTCTCAACACATGAAGGAGCAGAAACTCCATGGTATTTATTTAAATATCTGATATAGTGTCTGTGGTGCATTGCTCTTTTATATTGCAACCCTTTTAGTAATTCTGGTAAGAAGTCTGCTTTTCAAGTAGTATAGCTAAACTTGAGTGATTGGTTAACGTCACTAGAATCCTGAAACAGAGTGACATTCTTAGTATATATACACTTTTATAACATGTTGAGCTGACACCAGTAAAAATAGCTGACAGCTTTGTCTTATTTTCCAAAACTCTCACTTGAGTTTTATATTTGAATCTATTGCTCTTAGTTTAGGTTTCTCATGCCCAAGAACACTGGGGCTGTTTGGATTGTATACATCTGAGGACGGTTGTACTACTGTATATTGTGAACTTTTCTGACATCAGAGGATTACTAAAAATGTCTCTAAATCTGCACGTAGCCATAAGTTACAATTTTGTCTATGCAGGGAGCACCAGACAGAGCTGTACCATTCTTAGGGTGGTTTGGGGGCAGGCTCCCAGGTCCTGCATTTTGAGATGTCCCGCTGAATCTATCCCAACTGTCCTATGGACAGGATGGTTCCCCATATTGACATTAGTCAGTGGGGCCCAGGACGATCTGAGGCCTGGTGTAGAGTGGCAGCAAAGGTCAGGTACCCCACACTCATCGTGATAGCAGGAGTGGCAGTGGCCAGGCAGCCTGCTCTGCTCTGCCACCATCTCTCAGCAGAGTTGCTTCCCTGAACCCACATCACTTGTGGGAGCAGGCCAGGGCACTCCACTTCCTGCAGCCATGGTGAAGTGGAGCGACCCAGTTAGGAGATAGTCGTGCTTCCACTGCCACAGTGAGTGTGGTGAAGCCTGACCCCTGTTTCTGCTGGGCCCCACAGTAAGTTCCTGGGTTGCATCTCTCAGGGAAGGGGTGCAGTGGAGATTGGAGGGGGTAGAGCAGATGCAGGAAGAGACAGGATGGGGTCTGGGCAGAGTGTGGGGTTGTCCTAAGCCGTGCACCCCTCTAGACATGCTTTTGGCGCCAGACCGCTTAAGATGAAGACAGTGCATTAGCATAATATCTTAGAATTCATAACGGCAAACATTCCAAGTAAGCATTGCAGAACAGTGATATGGTATCAGCGTGTAACACCTACTTTCCTATATTTAGCAAAAAATAAAGAACTGATGCATGTTACAAAACGCAGCCTAAGACTGAAAAATATCCTCACTGTAGGTGTTTCAGTATTTTCTCACTCGCTTATTTGACAGTTACACAGCTGCTAAATTTCTTGTTACACTGTGGAAGATGTTCTACATAAACAGCCACCTCTTTCTTACTTAAGGCACACACTGGTTCTGTTTCAGCAGTCCTTATAATTTTGTCTATGTAGTGAGCACCAGACCGAGCTGTCCTGCCCATAGGAAGGTTCGGGGCAGCCTCCCCAGGCCCTGTGCTTTAAGGTGCCCCACTGCATCTACCCCAACCATCCTATGGACAGGACTGTCCCTCATATTAATATTAGTCTGTTGAGCCCAGGATAGCCTGTGGTATTACATAAGTGGCCTTGCGTGGGGTGGCAGCAAAGGTCAGGCACTCTGCAGTTACTGTGGTGGCAGGTGTTACAGCAACCAAGAGGCCTGCTCTTCTCTGCCACCATCTCCCAAAAGGGTCACTCCCCCAAACCCGCATTGCTTAGGCTCTTATTTTTAAGGCATTGAAAATAGCCCTCATTTTTAAGAATTTGGGAGTTGACTATTTGGAGTGGACTGCTAATGTAAAAACAATGAACCGTCCTGTGGCATCTCAGAGACCAACAAATTTGTTAGGTCATGAGCTTTTGTGGGTAAAACCCACTTCATCAGATGAATTTCCATTCCAACTCATCTGATGAGGTGGCTTTTACCCACAAAAACTCATGGCCTAATAAATTTGTTAGTCTCTAAGATGCCATGGGACATCTTGGTTTTTAGAGTCACAGACTAACATGGCTATCCCTCTGAGATGTTAACGTACCTATTTAAAAATTCATATTGAGACAAGAAACTTAATACATATATTAAACGTAGAGCCTTCTCAGTTCCAATTCCCCTTTAATTTTACCTACTTTAAACTTTAAGAACTTGATTTTGAACATATATTTAGATGTTTGAGACATGCAGAAAAGCTGATTAGTTTTTTGGATTCTCTCTCAAACAATGTACCCATGCGTGTTTTCTCTAGGCAAGTCTTCCATTTTCCAACAGTCTCTTGAAGGCTCTGCATAATGTAGCGCACATCTCCCCTTCTCCCCAAAATAATCCTGATCAGTCTTTTGTGTGTTGATGGGCACCCAGTTCAGACAGCAGGGAGTAATGTGAGACTCTGACTATCCTCGCCACTCCAAATAGGCTTCCCATGTGCATCATTTTCCACGTCACTCTCAGCACCTGCTAAGCCCTTGAGCATGGCAGGGTATTGTACTGCCACTAGATCATCAGGCTACAACCCCAAACTTTTCACTCTTAATTCTGCCGTGGTTGATGCCAAACATTATTCCCTAAGGATACCACTCCCAATGTACAAGCAAATGCATTTATGGAGTAATTTTTCTTAAATTTCAGGTCACCTGCTGAGACCTGTGTCACCTTTGATGTTGACTCTTTTACACACGCTTTAGACAGAATTTTAGGTGAGATCTAGTTTGTTTGTTTTTTTATTTCTTAGTCTGTTTCCTTGACATCCCAGTACATTGCATTGACTTGAATTGTTTGTAGGGGCAGACTCAGAAGAGCTGGACTCAGATGACTTGGATGAGGAGGAGCAGTTTGAGTTCTTGGACAGTGATGAAGACTTGGATTCTGAAGCCCATGGCCAAGAGGAAGAGGCATTGCCAAACCAAATGGTGGGAAGTCTCAGGTCATACATGGATGAGATGGACTGCGAACTGACACATACAAATGTTGGTAAAAGCTTCGTCACCAAAAGGAAAGAGGTATGTATGTGTTGGAGTTTTGTAACTTACCTCCTTTCGTGAAAGAGGAGATAGGGAGTAGAAGAATAATCTAAGCAGAGGTGACTAATATTCCTGTTCTCTGAGTATGTTGTCTTTCCAAAGAGAGATCTCATGTGCTGTAGTATACCATCAGAGTGATTCCATAAATAAAAATGCTAAACTTTTGGCTTCCACAATAGCTTCAAATTCTGGTTTTGTTTCTATTTTGCTAGTACTACAGGCAGCTGCCTCATGATCTCTTGCAGCTGTTGAAGTCCTATATGACTCAAGTGAAACCCAGGCAGGGCCAGTAATTCTCAATATCCTCCTTTTGGGACTTCTTCTGTGTGACAATTCTGGTAGTGTGATAGTTCATGAACCAAACAATCATCCAGAATTGGATGGGACGTATTGGACTACTTTATCTTGGCGTTTAAGCTATCTGCTTAACTCATTTTTGGTGGTGTGTTTTTATTTATTTATTTACTTATTTACTTATTTGTCTGTTTTACTTTAATCTGCCTTGATTATGAAGAGCAGTCCTGTGGCACCTTAGAGACTAACACATATTATATCATGAGCCTTCATGGGTAAAACCCACTTCCATCAGATGAATTGGCGTGGAAATTATAGACTCCAGAGCAAAAGCAGTTACCTGTCAATTGTAGGGGCCAGTGTTAATGATGCTAATTGAGTCAGGCTGAATGTGTCCCATTCATAGCTTTAGATGTGTAAATGCAAATATCAAAGGCAGGGGAAATTGCTTTTGTAGTTTTATGGATCAATCTGTGCCATCCCTGCTGTTTTAGGAGCTGTTTCTGCTATGGTTGCCTTTCACCATGTGTTATCAGTGAGTGCCATAAAGAACATATATGTAATAAATATGTCTTTATTTTATTCTGTGCTATAGGTTAGCTCTGCTAAAGAACCTCTGTCTCAAGATGCTGACTATACCTTAGAAGATGATTCTAAAGCAGGAGGTGCTGATTTGACACCTGTGGATATAGAGCTGAACCTAGTGACTAACCTGCTAGAATCCTATAGTGCTCAAGCTGGACTTGCAGGACCTGCCTCTAACATACTGCAGAGTATGGGAGTGCATTTACCTGAAAATACAGACCATAGTTGCTTTAATAGCAGAGCAGTAGATTAATCTGTTACCCTGGTTTAGGGGACAGTTGGTACTTCCACTCCCACCTTACAGAGTAATAGTGTCTGCCACACCACTATGAATGGTTTCAATACTAAACACTTTGATACATTTTGCATAGCTTTAGAAGTATGTGCAAAATAATTATCTGATAACATTTATCTGATCTGTTGAATGCCAAAAGTTGCCTTGGGCATAAAGCACAATTTTCTTTTGTGCTAGTGTATTTTAGAAAAATTGTGAAGATTGTTCAGATTTGAATGAAAATCTACGTTTATTATAAGAATTCCGTATCCATGTAAACGGCATATTAGGTGATACTGTCACTCGTGAATGAGTCCAGGTCTTGCTTCCTTTTTCTTTGCCATTCACAATTTTTTCAGCTCTTGTATCCATTAATAAGTGTTGATTTTAATGCTTAAAATGTGAACGAGATGTAGATCCTCTTGAAATTCTGCTGTGTCCAGAAGGTTATAATAGATATCACATGCAAGCAATAGTACCCTCTTGCTTTTTTTTTCTTTTGATAGCCACAAACATCCATCTGCCCAACAAGCACCCACAGTTTCTAAAGTAAAATGTTTCAGTGTAAGGAGTTCTGATGAGTAGTGAAAATTGCATGCATTTTTTCAAATAGAGAATTGTAGATTTACCAGTCTGAGAATTGAACTATTTTTCTGTAAGCAATTTTTAATTTATTTATAAATAAAGACATTCAAAAGTACAACTTGGTTGCTGTAACTTTTTTTCTTTGCAGTTGCACTTATTTTTTTCTCAGAGCAGTAGTGGAATTCCTCAGGATAAAAATAATTTCTCAATACCTTTGTATTTGAAAGAGAGTTCATGACCACCTTGACATTTTTTTCCTTGTTTGAACTACCTACTATCTCAAGTGGCTAAAGAATGATTGTGTCAACAGTATCTGTATGTAGTCCCAATCTAAACAAGTCAGTCTTGCTTTAATAGAAGTTTTTAATTGGAAGACATTTAATATTTTATTTCTATACAGTATTGAAAAGTTTACCATTAAATCAATTAGGTCGCAAACCATTTAAGTTAGACAGTTTTCATATATTTTATTCATCTAGTTATATTTGAAATAAATGTATAAAAGGTTCCTTCTTCATGTACTTGCCAAGATTAAGATTCAGACTTCTGTGTAGCTTCCCTAACTATTAATTAGTGTAGGAAGAGTTCCTTATTTTGCTTTGGAGATTAGTAAAGTCAAACTCACAAAGCAGAAGCTTGAATAACGATCCTAACAGGCACGTGAAAGCAGAAGTGATATTCTAAGTTCTTAAATATTTCATGTGCAGACTTTTAAATGTTGGTTGCTAGGAATTGTAAATAGATAAATTTTTTTAATAAAAATTCTGCCATTTTCTTGATGCTAAAGAAGAAGAGTTTAGCAACTTGTTTCTTTTACTGCTGCTGACTGTCACACCAGTATTCCAGTCACCATTAATAGGAGGCTTATTAGACCTATTAGAAGAGAGGCAACACTGTCCAGTTCCCAGACCTAGTGAGTTGAAAGTTAGGAAGGGAAATCATTATATGGTTTAAATTGTCATATTTCCAGTTAAGACACTGGCTGAAGCTCTAACACAACCTTGCTGAGATTCCTTCACCTGCATCTTTGTTTCCCCATAGACAAAACTAATAGCTTGCCCAAATCTGTAATGTTTTATACATCTCTGAGATACTGGTTATTGCCAGAACTTGACTATCTCTACACAAGGTGAAAATATGCTAAATTATTAAGTATCAGTATAAAATTCAAAGTAAAACTGCTGCAGTTCCTTCTAGGTTCTCCTACTGCTGATTTCAATTTGATCAAATCTGACTTGGTTAAATCTCTGTCATTAAGAATTTTATTTATTCTATCCAGTTATCAATTCTTATTTCAGATTGTTGTCCAATTACCTACATTAGAATTCAGTATATAAGAAAAATGCTAGAACAACATTGCAGTCTTGCCTTTTTGATGTTTAGAATAGCGTACTAAAACATTTTTTCTTTAATTATAATAGGATTTTAAATATGTTTGATAATATCTCAGGGTGTGTCTAGACAGCACCTTTTTGTGAGAATAAACTATGCAATTTGCACTTTGCAAATTGTGTAGCTTATTCCGATTCTAGGTCGAATGAGCTTATTTTGAAATTTGGTGCTATGTAGACAGTGCCAAATTTCAAAGTAAGGCACTATTCCAACAAATCCCTTGACTCTCAAGGAACGAGGGTTACAGGGAGACCAGAATAGCCCGCTCACTATTTTGGGAAATAGCGGGAGTGTTTAAAGACACAGCGTTGCTATTTCAGGATACTTCCAGTATTCTGAAATACTGCTGCAGTCTAGGCGTACCCTCAGTATGGTAACTAAGTGGTAGTGGATCAGTGTTTCTATAACTTGCTTTGAAGTTTCCAACAAAACCTACATTTGTTTTAATAGAGCTGTATTTTGGATGTGATAAAACTCTCTGGTTCAGCTGAATATCTGCTTTTGTTGCAGAAATGTTTATGTAGAACTTCTGAAAATTTAATTTCCCTATTTGTAGCCTGAAGTCTGGGGACAGATCTAGCATGAATGGATGAATTAGATGCCAGCTTGCTATTTCAGGAAGGAAGGTAAACAATGTGTCTTCACTACTCTTGATGAAACACGTGCTCTAGTAGAATCATAGACAGCCTACAATATTCTAATTCCTATTAAGATGTCCAATCTTGGATGATGATTAAGTGATTCAGCCATTAAGTGGTAATTTAGTTTCCTAACTCACTAGAAGGGAAAATGAGCCCCTCTTCTTTAGGGCTTTGTCAACTTGTCTGTATATGCAGGTTTTGCCGAAGTCACATTGCATCATCAGTACTTTTAAAGCAAGTGTGAATCCTCTGTTCCTGGAGTGGGGCATGCCAAAGACTCCCTTTTGGAAAAAAAAACTTTTTTTTCTTGCTTGTGGGCTGGCAGAGCAAAAATACACAGGCAGTCACGTCTGTTCAGAGAGACAAAGATGTGGCTGAAGAAGTCCAAGATTTCTGAGTGTGAGGCTTGCTCTACTAGAACTAGAGCTGAAAAGCCAGCTGGCCAATGAGGAGCATCCTGAACTCTAGGGGGAACAGGGCAACTTCAGCATCAGCCACTGTGGAGATGGGGGAGTATCACAGCTTCTCCCCTCATGTTTGGCAGTAGGGTGGAAGAAGCAACGATGACCTTCAGATTCCTGTGTTTGGTAGTCCCCTAATACTGAAATTAAGTTCCATTAAATAAAGTTTTTGACGGCAAGTTGAAAAGGCTCAGAGGCAGCAAAGTTTAAAGTGATGGGAAGCTAAACCATGCCATTTGTGTAAATGTAAACATTCTTTAATGGCATTGAAAAATGGACTTTTGTATGTTTATGCTCTTCTAATTAAAACTCATTTGGAAGTATTAATTGTAAAAACTTAATTTGAGAACAACACAGAGGAATGCTCAGTACTGAAGAAACCTTACATCAGCATACTCCCAACATAATCATATGTCTCTTTTAGACCATTATGTGGCTCAGTGACAAACATATTTACCATGTATGTTTATATAACACTTAGAGAAAGATACTGAAGAGGTACACACCCTGTTTTGTCCATTAAAAATAAATCCCCAAAGGCTGCAGAAGTTGTGAAATATTTCCACATTTTTGGCACACCAAACCATGTTTTTCTTTTGAGTTGTGACATGGACTTAACTTAATCAAGAATTTTTCATGTCATCTGTCTGAGACACTCTGTTTCTTCTTGCCATTGCCTTGTGCTGCCCTGAGCTAGTCACAGTTTGCCTCTCCACAATCGGTAGCTGTGGGGTGAGTAGATGGGGGGGGGGGGCGAGGAATAGAGAAGTTGATGTATGGAACTAGAATTGTGTGTACAGTAGGAAAAACAGGTTGCAGTGGCAGGCTACAAAACAACAAAATCAGGATGAGAAGACAAGACTGAGCTGCACCTATTCTCTATCTTATTCCTAATTCCCCTTTATTCCAAGATGGGAAAGAAAGGATGATGAGTGTAAGCCAGAAAGAGGAAATCCAGGCACCACAAATGCAGGGAAAGAATAAACCAGCAGCGATATAGTAAGTTATATTTTAAAGCCAGATGTCAGACTGTTATAACACAACCATGTGTGAATGTATAGAAAATCAGGAGAGGGGGGTTATATGAAGATGAGGATAGTGAGAGACTTGATGGGACAGGGGAGCAATGGAAGGAGCTAACTTATGAAATATGCACTTCCATTATTCTCAGACTTCGTAAACAAAAAATAAAAACCAAAAGCAGCACTAGGATCAAAACTAAATGGAATCTCAACTAGCCCACTAACAAAGAGTGAGGCTCTATTGTGCGATCTCAGATATGTCTAAGGGGGCAAAATGAATGGAATCCTTTATCCCAAGAGGGATATATGAAACACATGTTGTAGGATTTGACTATTCTGCTATATATATTGTGGAGACTTGTAGCTGGTTTGATGACACATCTGGCGGGCTAGAATTTTGAAGATTAGTATTTTAGATTTACTGGAACTTGTGGCATTGTATTTAACTGGTGGCTCTTTGTGTATGAGTTCCTGGCACTTATCCAAGTAGAAGTCCGTGCCCCTACGCCTACCTGAATATAAAATGGTTTGTTACCTGTTCTGGCTGGGTCATCACTGACAGAACATGTCCTCACTTGTTTTTACCCACTAAAAGGTTTGATACTGTGCCTAAGCAGGCTTGGAAGCCTGCTGCTTAACCCATTCCTGAATCAATTGATGGGCTATAGCCCACTTAGGTGGCAGACAAAGTGAAACACTCTGATTCTCTTGTTTCAAAGGTTTAGGCCCCCGTTTGAGTGCCTCCTCTATTTCCTCCAGGCTGAACCATCTGGCTGCTTCCAACTCCAGTTTGTTCATGCTGATCTGGAAAGGATCCAAAATATAAGAAGGACTGTAAATGGCTTTAAAAGCAGCTATCTAGGACTTCGTAATTCTTATAGCTACAGTACTTTCTGTTAACACAGGCTATGAATTCTGGGTTCCAGTGTATTCCGTGAGTACCTGTGAAAGATTTCTCCCCACCTTGCCTACACTGAAAAGTGATGTGGGAGAAATAGGTTCGAGTTAAAGCAAATCCGTTACCAGGAATTAAAAACAAGCCCAGTCCAGTTTATCTGGCAAGTGAGGTTGTTCAGTGGCTTATGTGAAATGAACTACTAGTATGTGGCTAGCACCAGATGGTCCTATCATAACTGATCCCAGTTTGGCAGTCTCCACCTCAATGAAAATGGAAACTGAACGATGCAACCATGAAGCAGGTTTGAGACAGGTGGGTGAGGGAAACCAGAGTGCAATCTCAGGTTAGTGGATAAATGTAAGACTTCACATCCCAGGAGTCATCAAGTCAATACTTTGCACTAAATGGAATTTGCTTTCGGAATTTTTTTTAATTGCCTCCAATACAATGACAGCCTTTTCACTTTAAATATCTATTATGAGACAATGCATTGACAATGCTCATTTCCCATAAATTAAAAAAATCGCCACGAGTAAAATCTATTGCTTGCTAATGTTTTGTGGGATTTGATTTCATCTGCTGTAGCAATTAACCAGTACACACTATTTTATTACCATGCTTGCATTAGTAGTGCAGGTGGATGCACAAGGAACTAAACACCAGAATCATGCATGTTCCTTTAGCAATAGGACATCAATTCAAAGCTGGGCGTGCTCTACAGAGGGCAGACCTGAAGTATGGCAATGTTTGGATCTGGATATTGGTTCATTCACAATGTGGCACAAAATACACCATCCTTTTGAAACAGAAAAAGGCTCTTTTCAATCTTTTAAAAGGACCCCACACTCACTTCAGTAGAACCCAATCAAAATTACATTTAAAAGAATTTGACAATGCAGCCATTATGAAGACTGGGAAAGGAGACTTCATCAAGCACGACGAGTGATACAATCTTGGGAACTACTCACCTTTGTCTGTTGTGGTTGCACGATGGCATGACAAGCTATCATTAGGGAACTGTTGGGAAAGGGCCAGTGCTGAGAAGCAGAATACCACAGGGACTCCACCTCCAGTCCCACCTCTTCTGCCACCTCCCGTCGGACTGTTTCCTCCAGAGTCTCACCTGGAAACACTCAAATTAGTTGGGGCAGTACCCCATCAGGTAAGGTAATGCTGGCAGGTTTTTCCCAGAGTAGATAAGTATCCTTTTATGTCACACAAAAATAGGTGGTGTGGGGGGGATTTTAGGTTTGACTTTCCAAGTATCAGTATCAGTCTCTGTAAGATGAGCCATTTTGACAGCACTTCAGGCCACAATTCCAAATTCATCAACTATCATTAGTCCCCTTCAAATTTGTTTTTAGTGTCTCTCCCAGATACCAAAGACACTCAGGTACTTAGATGGTGAGGGCCACATTAATATGCACTATAGACAGAAAGAATAAGCTACTCTGACCTTTCATTTTTGAAGCCATTTTCTCACTAAAAGCATTATACTTCTTGTAAGTTCCTCAACACACCCCCTATACATCAGTCCAGAAAAAGACGTAAGAAGAGCCCTTGGAGTTTAACTCAAAAGTCTCATGCATGGATATTAGCAAAATAATAGTGCCCTGCTGCTGAATCCCATGACTTTACCCCTTTTAGAGCTCTTTCCTTCTTCAGATAAACACCGTTCACACTTGAGCTGAATGAGGAAGGCTGTTCTGGTAACATCCACCCCTTTTCCCAGAATATCTGCTCTGGGCATAAGCTTCACTGAATGGGGGAGCTGCTGGTCTATGGCTGGTAGGGATGTAAAAAAGTCTTTAAAACACTAACTATGTAACCATTAAAAACTGCTAGCGGTTAACAAAGTTAACCCAGTTGGGGATATACAGCTGGTAGGGATTTTAGTGTGTAGTTGTTTACACAAATGATGCCTGAGATTACTGGTTAATCCTAACAACTACACACATGCCTTGCTGCTTCTGTATCAGAAGCAGCAAAGAAGCGGGGGGATGCAGGAGCCGATGCCCGAGGTGAGCCGGCTTTTAAGTTGGCGCTTTGTGGAGCTGCCTCCCCCCACCCCACTTTTAAGTCCCATTGACTTTCAATGAGATTTGTCTAAATTATTTTTGAAAAATTTTACCTATATTATCAAACAATTACTCATACCAGAAAACTCAATTTTCTGAGGCAGCAGCATAGGAGGGCAGGCAGGAGCTGGTGCTCAGGGGGAGACAGCTTAAAAGCTAGCTGCCCCCCGAGCACCGGCTCCCGTGGAGTTACCTGCCTCTAACAGGCAGCAGCATGGGGGCTGAGTGGAGGCAGGTGGGAGCCAGTACATGTGGGAAGCCAGTTTTCAAGCTGGGTCCCTGTGTGTACCAGCTCAGCTCCCACGGAGCCACCTTCCCCCTCCCCCGTGTTGCTGCTTCTGCATCAGAGGTAGCAGCCTATATGTATGGGGAGCTGGATTTTAAGCCAGCTCTCCATGCATACCTGCCCCACGCATGGGCAGCTCTCCGTGCATTCCCCACCCCCTCACTGCCTCCCACAGAGTCAGCAGCGTGGGAAGGGGAGGCAGGCAGTTCTGTGGGAGACAGCTTGAAAGCTGGCTCCCCACTGAGCACTGGCTCCAGCCTGCCTCCTGCCCCACATTGCCACTTCTGTATCAGAGGTAGCAGCGTGGAGGGCAGGTGGGAGACTGTACATGCAAGAAGCCAGCTTTCAAGCTAGCTCCCCACATATATTGGTTCCTGTCCAGCTGCCTCCCCCTTACTGCTGTGGTGCTGCCTCCCACAGAGGCAGCATCATGAGGTACAGGCAGGAGCTGTTACACATGGGGAGCTGACTTTTAAGAGCCACCTGCATCCCCCCTGCTGCCTCTGATAAAGAGGCAGCAGCCCAAGGGGGCAGCTGGCTAAAAAAATCCAGCAGTTACACATTTACACAAATACCTGTTAGTTAACATCCCTAACGGCTGGGTGGGCCTAGGGAACCCCTGTGGCTCCCAGGAAGCCAGCTGCCCCGTGCTGCAGGCTCTGCAGTATCCCAGCACACACCTGCAGGGTAGATTTTAACCAATAACAAAAACCAGTAAGCATCAGCTTATCGGTTAACCAGTTAAAGTCTTACATCCCTAGGCTAGTTCCCCGACTCAAGTTTCCCACCATGCAGTACACAATCTTGTTATCAAATACAATGTTATGTGTATAAGTGCAAAACACTAGGTCAGAAGCTTCCTTACCCACATCACAGAAGCCTGCCAAAGCGCTGTACATCCCTTTTGGGAATGCTGCTTGCCGGGCAAGAAGGCACTGGCTCCCATTAGACACCAAAGTGATAACCACTGGGGACATCTAGACAGCATACCAAATAGCAAAGCAACAGGAATTCAGACAAATGGATTGCTACATGAAAACAAGAGGACCATAAGAACACGGACTACTGCTGATATTTTTTCTAGATGATTTCAGGGGACATTGGTAAACAATAAAGAAAAAGTACAAACGAAATGGAAAGCTCTTGCTCTTAAGTTTCACAAATTTAATCCTATTAAGTCCAACAGTTTTGGCTAGTCTCTACTGTGATCATTTGTCAATTGTCCCACCATTCAGATTCTGACCTGTGGGTAATAAATTATTCCACTGGTACGGCAAACACGCTTGCTGCCTGCTACATTCTTTTGGGTAGGCTGCCCAGTTTTGCTACAGAACTGATGGGTGTCATGCCAACGAAGAAGGGCCTGAGCCTATAAACACCAAAACATAAACACAATTGGTTAACAACAGAACGTAGGGCTCATTCAGTGCAGTCATTCCATCCTGCCTGAGTGTTGCTTTGCCATGGTCTTCTTATCACGCACGATCCTTGTGGATCAAATCACACTTCATCAGGTTAGGCAGACCTGCAAGTTCACATGAAATTACGGAGCTGCTCTGAAAAGTGGCTGGAGCCACATCATGTTTCAAACTCCTCATTTTCAGTACGTCTATACAGCACCGCATAGCTCGAAATCAGCTATGCAACTTGAGCTATACAAATTGCATAGCTTAGTTTGAAATAGTCTGTTTCCAAATTGGCGCTGCGTAAACAGCTATTCCAACAAGTCCCTTAATCTTCATGGGACGAGGTTAACCAGGACGTCGGAATAGCCAGTCCGTTATTTTGAATTTATTTCAAAATAACGGGCTTGTTGCTAAGACGCAGAAAATGCTATTTTGGGATACCAGACATATCCTGAGATAGCACTGCTGCCTAGACATACCCTTTGAATCTAAATTACAATCCCTTTCAGTACATCTAGGGCTATGTCTAGATTGCAGGCTTCTTTCGGAAGAAGCTTTTCCAGAAGAGATCTTCCAGAAAAACTTCTTCAGAAAGAGAGCATCCACACAGCAAAACTGCATTGAAAAAGTGATCTCCTTTTCCAAAAGATAGTGTCCACATTCCACATTTATTAGACGCTATCTTGCATTTAAGTTGTGATTACTATGGACCGAGTGACCACCAGGGCACCTGTGCTTTTTCCTGGAGACCTCTTTGTTTGAAAAAAACCCTCTACCCCGTCCACACACACCTTTTTCTGAAAGAGCCCTTTCGGAAAAAGGCTTCTTCCTCGTAGAAAGAGGTTTACTGCTATTGGAAAAAACCTTGCGTTCTTTCGGCTTTCTGTTGAAAGAATGCAATTGCAGTGTGGACATAAGTGGAGTTTTTCCAGAAAAACTGCCATTTTTCCGGAAAAACTCTGCAGTATAGACATACTCTAGGAGAGAAGAAAAAGAAGTTTCCGGGTATTGGGACTGACTAGGAACAATAACTAGAACTGAACTGTGCTTCTAAGTAATGCCTAGACCAGATCTGTTTCCTGCTGTACTGCACATGTACCACAACGCTTTCAGAAAGGCTATTTCTATTTATGGGCTAATGGTCCTGGTTTTAGCAGAGATGCTTTTCGGCAGGGCTTCCAAATTAAGATATCTGCAGAATAATGGCTCAAGGAGAAGCAGTTTTAAAAGGAGAATAGCACTATGGGAACACTACTTTATCCTCTTCAAATCCCTTTGTAACATTATTTTCTGCTGGGATGCAAACAGAAAACTGCCTTCTGATAGTAGTGAGGCAGGTGGCAAATTGTGATTACTGTGACTCTTGCTACAGACTGGTTGGTTACGTTTACAAAGCAGGCAGAGAGGTAGTTCATGTTAAATAAGCTTATTATTACTGTTATGCTGTCCTCTTTCCCCAGCCACTCACTTCTGTTTCACCCACTTGTAACATCTTGGTTTTCAGATGGGACTGCCATTCAGTGTTTGTATAGTGCCTGGCACAGTGTCCCACAAACTGGTGAGACCCTGAGGCACTGCCTCAATATATATAAAATAAAAAGCCCCAATGATTGCAAGTGAGAGATCTGGTACAAGCAATCACAATTTCTATACGTGAAATATATGTCATACCGAGGACAACAAGGGTCTGTCTTTCCCATCTAGTTGAAAGAGAGCCTTCCGTAACTCAGTAAATGACCCCTTCAGTTCAGATTCAATGACAGATTTCTCCAAGAATCCTGGAATTGAATAAATCTGTGGGAATCAGAAATCTCAGTTCTCCCCCCCCCCCCCATCTTTCCTTGTGCCTATTAAACGTATACAAATTCTGAACATTCCCAAAGAGCTGTTCATGACAGAGTCATGTTAGTATGAAAATGACATTACATAAGTAAAAATACAGTCCTCAAAAGCGGTGACCTACAAACATACCAACTTTACTAAAAACAAAAAAGAAGTAATACCATTATATAAGAATTCCCTACAGTGGCTCCAGTGATGTCTCAATACTTCCCATCAAGGATGAGAGAGGACTTCCTTCAGAGGCAACTTCTTACCCACCAAGGTGGTGCGCTGCCTAAACACCATATCTATCATGGCGCACGGCTTCCTTGTAGATTCAAGTAAATAAATACAGCAGCCAATAGGTGAGACATAGATGGAGGCGTAACTCTAACCTAGATCCAAGGCAAAGTATGCCATGCATGCATCTGAACATCCGATCAGCACTGAGTTTTCTATCATCTGTTCATTGTGTTTGAGCTTCCCCAGCGTGCTTTTCATTTCTAAACAGAGGAAAAGGGAGGAGAAAGCTGTGATAAACTTACACAAAAAACCTCAGTATCTTAATATTTAAGGCTCCTGCAGCCCAGGTCAATGGAACTAGACCCCATCACAGAAGGGATTTCCTATGGCTTGTGGAAAAGTTGTGAGACTGGGCAAACACCTTGAAATAGCTGACTCGTAATGCTTTTGACAACAATCCCAAGAAAAGGGGCGAGTGATAAACCATTCCACCTTCCCATCCAAGGGTAAAGCCTCAAGACAAAGCTCACACGTGGGTAAGAGAGGAAATAGGTTTATGGAGATTCTAGAATGAAAGGAATGAGATGGAAACTAAACTTCAGTTTATCCACCAGCATCCAGACCATGACAGAATAGTGCAAAAAAAGCGTATTGTCTCATGCTGCAGGACTTACCCTGTGCCTTTCCCCTTGGCTATGTCTACACAGGCATGATTTTCCGGAAATGCTTTTAACGGAAAAGTTTTCTGTTAAAAGCATTTTCGGAAAAGCGCGTCCTAGATTGGCAGGACGCTTTTCCGCAAAAGCACGTTTTGCGGAAAAGCGTCCCTGGCCAATCTTGACGCGCTTTTCCACAAAAAAGCCCCGATCGCCATTTTCGTGATCGGGGTTTTTTTGCGGAAAACAAATCTCTGCTGTCTACAAAGTCTCTGCTGACTTTTGCCTGAACGGGAGCAGCATAGTATTTCCGCAAAAGCACTGACAATCTTACATGAGATCGTCAGTGTTTTTGCGGAAATTCAAGCAGCCAGTGTAGACAGCTGGCAAGTTTTGCTGCAAAAGCAGATGATTTTGTGGAAAAACTTGCCAGTCTAGACACTTCCCCACCCCATCAGAATGTATCGAGTGTCTGTTCATCAAAGAAACTCTCCCAGGTTATATCAAATACCCCCAATTTTCTGATCAACTTTATATCTCTTACAAACCATTAACTTCAAAGGAAATGGCCCCACCTATTTAAAACTGATTAAAGAATTGTGTCTAAATAAATATTAATAAATGGATTAACATTATTAAATGGATATCATACATGCTTACAAAGAATTAGTCTATGTCCATGTGCCAGGGCTTTAGATGGTAATCCTAAACATAATTATTTAATGTTGATAAATAATACCCTGAACATAAAGTGGAGAACACACTTCCACTTGGCTCAGTAGACTTCTTGATTCTTCATCATGATCAGTGTGAGATAAAGATACAAAGCTCTGGAATCTTTACAACAAGCATGGTATCAACTAAAATCTGGTTAATGGAAGAAACTTATCATTATTTTGGCTGGTTACTCTTTGAAGATATGTACTGTTGACCATCACCTTACCTACTGCACTTATTTGTGGGGCCAAATACTTGCTCCCAACTTTCTGCAGGAATGGAGAAAGATTATGAAAGAGGTAGAATGTTCCTGAGTTCTGGGCTTGCCTACAAATGTCATCATCTTCTTTTAGATCAAACAGGTATCTGCAGTTGGGAAAGAATCAGGAAGATCATTGCAAGACTAAGCCTAGATCACAGAAGGGTACACTCATTTTGAACAGGGGAATGGAACAGAATTCATGGTATACTATCTTTCTTATTTCAGATATTTCCAAAGCTTTGCAGAACAATGTGCTAGTTAGCAATGGGTAGTGATTATATAGGTGAAGACAGAGCAATCATGTACTCACCAATAATTTACAAGCAAGCTTGAATGTTGGAAGTTAATTTCAAGCCACTATAACCCACCCCCCAGATATAATGTCCTCTATTTTATACACACAATCATTTATGTGCAGAAGCAGAATAGATGGCTTACTATCTTACAAAGGTTCTTGGAGCCTTGAGGATCCTACTCCTCACTAGTATTGTATTTCCCCACTTTTGAAGGGTCTAGAATCCAACAGCTGGAAGGGACCCCAAGAGGTCATGGAGTTCAATCAGCTGCCCTTATGGCAGGACCAGGCACTGTCTAGACCAGTGTTTCTTAAACTGTGTTCCGCAGCACACCGGTGTATCAGGAGGCATTCAAAGGTGTGCCACGGAGAACAACAGAGTTCAAAATGGCCACCCTTAAAGGGGCAGGCGTGTTTTTTTCTCAATAACTTTCCCCCGACCTTCCCCACCCCACACTTTTTTTTTTCGCTCAACAAAAAAAATCCCTGGTGTTCCTCATAAAAAAAAGTATTGTTTGGTGTTCCTTGGTCTTAAAAAGTTTAAGAGACACTGGTCTAGACCATCCCTGATAGATATCTATCCAACCTGCTCTTAAATATCTCCAGTGATGAACATTATACAACCTCCGTAGGTAATTTTATTCCAGTGTTTAACCACCCAGACAGTTAGGAAATGTTACCTAATGTCCAAACTAAATCTCCCTTCCTGCAATTTAAGCCCATTGCTTCTTGTCCTATCATCAGAGGCCAAGGAGAACAATTTTTTCTCCATCCTCCTTGAAACACCCTTTTAGATACTTGAAAAAATGCTATCATGTTCCTCTTAGTCTTCTCTTTTCTCAACCAAACAAGCTCAGTTCTTTCAGTCTTCCCTCATAGCTCATGTTTTCTAGACCTTAAATCATTTTTGTTGCTCTTCTCTGGAACTTCTCCAATTTCTTGAAATGTGGTGCCCAGAACTGGACACAATACTCCAATTGAGGCCTCATTAGCACAGAGAAGAGTAGAAGAATGACTTCTCATGTCTTGCTCACAACATTTCTGTTAATGCATCATGGAATCATGTTTGCTTTTTTTTGCAACAGTGTCACACTGTTGACTCATTTTTAACTTGTGGTCCACTATGACCTCTAAATCCCTTTTAGCAGTACTCCTTCCTAGACAATCACTTCCCATTCTGCATCTGTGAAACTGACTGTTCCTTCGTAAGTGGAGTATTTTGCATTTGTCCTTATTAAACTTCATCCTATTTACCTCAGACCATTTCTTTAGTTTGTCCAAATAATTTTGAATTTTGACCCTATCCTCTAAAGCACTTGTAACACCTCCCAGCTTAGTATCATATGCAAACTTAATAATCAGACTCTCTATGCCATCATCTAAATCATTGATGAAGTTATTGAACAGAACTGGTCCCAAAACAGATCCCTGTGGAATCCCACTTGTTATATCCTTCCAGCATGATTGTGAACCATTAATAAACTACTCTGAGCACAGTTATCCAGCCGGTTATGCACCCACCTTATAGTAGCCCCATCTAGTAGTCTAAGTGATGTTTGGACTTAGAGGCTAGACACTCTTAAGTCAGTCAACACAACTCCTAATTTGGATTAGGGATGTTAGAAATATTTTATTTTAGTAATCATGGAGCCACCATAATTTTTAGCAGTTACATGGTTACTAAAATGCTCCCCATCCTGGGGGTGGGACCCCTGTCACCTCCCGTTACTCCCTCTATATTAAAAATCAGCTTCCTGTGCAGACTGGTTCCTGCCTGCTGCCCTGCGTTGCTGCCTCTAATTGAGAGGCAGCAGCACAGTGCAGTAGAAATCCCTGTCCACAGAGGATCCTGAGCTCCCTGCGGACAGAGGCTACTCTAGTATCCCATGGAGCAGCCTCTGTCCACAGAGAGGTTGGACCCCCTGCGCACAAGGGCTGCTGCCTCCCCATGCTGCTGCGTCTGATACAGAGGAAGCAGCATGAGACAGCAGGCGGGTCCATTTTTTCAACCATCTCCCCACACGGACTGGCTTCCACCTGTCGCCACAAACTGCTGCCTTTGTATCAGAAGCAGCAGCGTGGAGTGCTGCATGTTCTTCATTTAAAACTCAGACTGGCAGGGGGGACTGAGCCAGCCTGCTGGTCCAAATTTTAAATGCAGAGCATGCAGGGATGCGGGTGCAGTGTTGCAGTTAACTGGGACTGTTAACTGATAAGCAATCGCTAATTGGTTAAATGGTTAGCGGACTATCCGTTAACATCCCTAATTTGGAAAATGTGGATCACTGAGCTATTTGAATTTCTCTTCTTGCCCTGCTCATTTGGGGGGTAAAGATGAAGCTCCAATCTTGGAAAAAATCATTCTATGCTAGACTTTGAATACACTAGGGAAATGAATTGTAGTTGATAATGGGTAACAAATGGCTTCTCTCAAGTGGTACTCAAAACGCTGTGGAGCTGATATAGGCACTATTGATCAAGTTCAGCACTTCATTTTAGGAATATTTAAGAAACCTCACAGCATGTTTATCTACAATAGGTATTAACTTCAGTTTATCTGACTTCAGCAGTTTTCAGCACTACTGGAAGGGACTTAGACCTTTTGATACCTGTTGTGTAAACAGGGCTGTGCAGTGAGCTATATTGTCTATCAGTGGGCTATAGGATTAGCTCCAGATACAGAATTTTAGCAAGGACACATATGGAACATACATGAGCACCAAGCTCTGTTCTTCCCACTCTGTAACAGAGATAAGAACTTACCGCATTTTTCTAACATAGGTAGAGTGTAACCTGAACCACAGAGAGGGAGTTCTTCTGTATACACCTGGATAAATCATAGCTATCACCAGAACCTGAGAGAAGCTGCCTCTGACCAAAACAAAAGCACAGTATGACATGTAAACTCTACAAATGGGCTCTGTTTAGAAAGGGACAACATCCCAATGTAAAAAGAAATATCTCTCTCTTCTACCCATTCCATAGGATGTTGAGACCACATTTGCTAGAATATTGTTCAGTTTGATTTTGAGCTTCATATACTTCCCAGGAACCTCATTATCCTAAAAGACCATTCCAAGATAACTCAATTTCTTTCTTCCTTCCTTCCTTCCTTCCATCCAGTTTTTGACTGTCAAGAAGGTCTTGCAGAAACTGCTGTAAACAAAGATTAAATGGTGCTGTCCTAATATGTGTGTGTGTCTGTGATAAAGGATTATAAAGTTAATTATTATGTTTTCTGTTTTCTAAAGGAAGCTATGGTAGCTCCTCAAAATGAACATTCTAATGCAGCAACTAGCAAATCTATTGGGAATGCAATAATGACAGTAAAGAATTAAAGACAAAATATCACATGCAGAAAAGAACTTTACAAGTTAAACGAAAGACAGCAGTTGCAGTTGCATTAGTCTCTCTAGGTCGTTGATGTTTTTGCACCAAAGGAACTTGCTACACTTTTAGTTAAGGCAATTACAGAACCCACGATGCCCTCAACTACAAAATGTCAGGAAGACAACTACCCAGAAGGTGACATTATCAATAGTATCTTTTCTGAAGAACTGATTAACAGATTCTTAATTAAGTACTAATATTTGGCTCTTATATAATACTTAGATCTCCCCCCATTCATAGATTTTGGAAGTAGGAATACTTGGGTACACCATGACTTGAAGTGATTTCCATTGTATAAGGGGAATATAGCTTGCTTTAATGGCTCTGAGCACCCTCTCTGTAAAAAACTATCCCAGTACCCCAGCCTCATTTTACAGATGGAGAAACTTAATCAGTGAAAAAGAAGAACCTGTGAATACTCCATGTGATTTTACCTTAGCCATTATGGAGAGTACTCTGTTCCTAACACCTTATCTACAGAAATGGGAACTTATAAAAATATTGCAAAACTGTACGGATATGTCTACACTACCCCGCTAGTTCGAACTAGCGGGGTAGTGTAGACATACCCCTAGTGAAATAGTTTTTCCTAATATCCCAACCTGGACCTCTCCCACTACAACTTGAGACCATTGTTCCTTGTTCTGCCATCCATCACTCCGGTGAACAGCCTTTCTCCAGCCTGTTTGGAACCTACCTCTGTTTTGTAACTGAAATCAATAGATATGAAAATGTAGAAAACATGCACAAATATTTAAAATAAATGGTATTCTATTGTTTAAAAGTGTGATTAATTGCACATATTCCCTGGATATGCATAAAATGATCTATAGTGCATTGTTTAGCAAAATAAACAGCAAGGGGAATAATTGCATATTATGAATAAAGACTAGCCCAAGCTCAGCCCTCAGAAACGTACACTCATAAACCTTGGGAAAAGCACAACTGTAGTCAAACTTTCCTAGTGTGATGCTATCCAGCCCAAAATACACTCCTGAATCTGAACTCCTCCTAATTTTGGGAATATTTGGATCCAACTCTGAAATTTGCAGAGATGTCAGGTTAAAAATTAAGTGGCTTTAGCAAGAATCAATCTTTAATCTTTTTTTCTCTATCCCTACTATTCACAGATTAATTGGGATTCATTTTTTCTGGTGTAACACTGGATGAACTGATAGTAATCTGAGATTTGGGACAACATGTGCATATATATAAAATACAAAAACTACTGATTGACAGTGGGAAATTTGGTGCAAACACTCACAATTTCTACACGTGAAATATCATATGTCCTGGCAGCCAGCAAACATTTCTGTTTTTTATTCCCTTTCATTTTTTGGATGTATGGAAAAGCACTACCTGCTCCTGATTGCATCATTAGCTATATGCTCATCCAAGTACTGTACCAGGCAATTTTCATTCCTGGAATAATTTTCATTGACTTCAGTGGAGTTACAGCAAGGTTGAATTAAGGCCATCCCCTTCCTTCCAGCCCTTATACAATAACTGTTAAGTACTAAACAAAATTTTCATGGAAAATAACTCTCCTAATTTTAACAAATTTAATTTGGAAGCTCTGTGGGGAAATAACTCTCCTAATTTTAACAAATTTACATTGGAAGCACTGTGAACGCTATACATGGTTATTTGCAAGATTCTGTGAACTGGTTTATTTTGATAGTCTAGTCTGTGAAAATCTTAAACACAGCATAAAATTTAAATCCAGATCAGCATAGGAGTTTACCCTAGAATGGGCAGCAGGGAGTGAGCTCAGAATCTGACTGCAGAGGGCAATAACTTGTTCTTATAATAATAAAATCCAAAATCGGGAGATGACAAGAGTTTACTCCTTAATTCCTTGGAGCCACAAGAAGCATGGTTAGTATTTGGCAATACTGAATTCAGGAACTGAAAAGCTCTGAGGGCTCATACACATTCAGATCTGCCACCCTTGTCAATCCTGGCTGTTTTGTGTCCCTAGGTGGTGTTAATCAAAGAAAGTGCCCGTATTACTGGTACTTACTGTAGTCAGTGCAGAAAGAATGTTACTTCTGACAGCAGGAAGTGCTTTGTAAAAGCCACAGGCTGACCCAGAGGATGTTAAAGGAAATGCAGTTTGTGTATTAAATTGCACTACATCTTTCAGAATCCCTTTTCCCACAAGGAATTCTGGGAACTGTAGTTCCACAAAGACTGCTTCAGAAATCTCTCACTGTGATGTCTCTGACAGTTCACTATACAGGCAGTCCCCCGGTTAAATGGATCTGACTTACATCGGATCCTTACTTACAAACGGGGTGAGGCAACCCTGCACTAGCTGCTTCCCCCCAGCAGACTAGGGAGACGTGGAGCGGCTTTTCTCAGCAGACACCTCAGCTTGAGAATAAAGGACTGAGGGAAGTGAGGTGTGGGAGAATAAAACTGAGCTCTGGAGAAATGTTTGGCTAGAGTTTCCCCTACAATATGTACCAGTTCCGACTTACATACAAATTCAACTTAAGAACAAACCTACAGTCCCTATCTTGTACGTAACCCGGGGACTGCGTGTACATTTGCTCATATTTTTCTTAACTCGTATTAGTATTACTCTTTTGTGGTAAATTCTTGATTTTATACTAACATTTAATTAAATCAGAGAGCCAATTCACTATATTCCCCCCCAAATAAAATTGTAACAGCAATGCTAGTGCTGTATTTTGACCCATTGTAATAGGACCCAATACTATTGTTTGCAAATTTTCTTTTTCTTTTTGTCTGAAATGTGACAGAACTATCTTAAAGAGGATCTGAATTCTCACTGTGCCCTTAATAAAGACAAATGTGCAAATATCAATATTTACAGTGTTGTTATAATCGTGTTGGTCTCTGGATACTAGGGAGACAAGGTGAGTATGGTAATGTCTTTTATTTCTCTTCTGTTGGTGAGAAAGACAAGCTTTCAAGCTTCCGCAGAGCTCCACCTCAGGTCTAGGAAATGCACTCTAAGGTTATGTCTACATAGCAGCATTATTTCAAAACAATTGACATTATTCCAATATAACAAAGAGCACATGTACGCTACCAGTCTTAATTTTAAAATTATGTTGAGCTAGAGGACTTCTTACTCCAACTTCTGTAACCCTCATTTTACGAGGAGTAAGAAAGACGAAGGAAGAGTGTTCATAACTATTTTAACTTAAGCTATGCAATTGACATAGCTGGACTTCCGTAGCTTATTCTAATTTTAGCCCTGCTGTGTAGAAATACCCTTAGTGTCACAGCTAAATACAAGGTGAAACAGATAGTTTAGCAGAAATATTTAACACATATTTCAAGGGTTTGTTCAAAGCGAAATGTTCCCTTGAAATATGTTTAACTTCTTCTGCTGAACAATCTGTTCCACTTTGTATTTAGCTATGACACTCTGAGTGCATTTCCTGAACATGAAGAAGAGCTCTGTGGAAGCTCAGAAACTTCTGTTACCAACAGGAATTGGTCCAATAAAAGATATTACCTCATGTCCCTTGTCTCTTTGTGTGATAGGGATAGGGGAAGGAGACTGACAGATCTATATTGTTTCAAAGCACTCAAGTCTATGTTTGAAATTGCAAGCGTAAAACTATAATTCAAAAGTGAAGTTTGTCAAGCGTGATGTCGATATAATTAGAGACAATCTTTTTCATGCATTTATAATTGAATCATCAAACATATTCTTCTCCAGTGGACAAAAACATTAGTTTCTGTTTACATGAAGAGTATCTTTATAACATTATAACAATAAACGTGATTTACAAAGAATATTGATAGACCCATGCTTATTTTCTCATTAATTAAGATATAAAGGATTGCAGACACTTAATTTAAAAACATTGGTCATAAATACAACAAATAAGATACTTAGGGAAAACAGCACACTTGCTACTAGAGAGTGATCTACAATAATGTTACATTTAATTATGTCTGATTGTTGTTACTCCTGTGCTTTCTGTAACAGAGCAAACCCCAACATATTAATCCATTAGGCTAATTGGATTAATTAAGAACACCTATTAAACAAATCTTCCCTTAACATGATAAAGCAGGGGTAGGGAACCTAAGGCTCAGGGGCCGGATGTGGCCCCCGGCTTGCTTAGAGCCGGCCCCCAAGGCTCAGAGCACCTCCACAGCATTAGAGAGCTAGTGCTCGCACACCAGCCCCTTCACTGCCTCTTTGCGGAGCTGGAGCACACACAATCTACTAAGCTGGGCCCCACTAGGCTCTAGTGTGCAAGGGGAATATGGGTAGTGTCTTTCTCATTCTCATCCAGGGGCCGTGCCAGTGAGGATCTTTTTCCTCTCACTCATCTGTGGCCCCAGACTGAAAAAGCTTCCTCACCTCTGTGATAAGGATTGAAATATAAAGGACACTTTTCAAAGACACCGTAATAGAGGCCCAACTTAAATGTATACCCCAAATTAAAAAACATAGTAGAAGAACTAAAGAGCCACCGTGGCTTAACAACCATGTACAAGAAGCAGTGAAAGATACAAAGAAATCTTTTAAAAAGTGGAAGTTAAACCCTGGGCTATGTCTAGACTGCAAGCCACTTTCGAAAAAGGGCGTCTAGACTACAATACGCGGATCGGAAAATTGATCTGCTTTTTCGAAAAAGGGCGTCCTGACTGCTGGACGCTCTTTCGAAAGGAAAAGCCACCCGGAACCACTTCTGCCAAGGCATGGGGGCAGCATTTCCTTCCGGGTGCTGCTGCCTGCCCTTTGCAGAGACGCGTGGTTAAAGGGACGCTCTGCTCCTGCAGCTGCCTTTGCTGTCCCTCTAGGAGGTAAGCAAGGTATTGCAGTGCTTGTTTGGAGTGCTCAGCTTCCTGGGAAACCCCAGCAGGTTTTTTGTTTGGAGGTTTTTCTGTTTTAGACCTGTTTTATTGGCATGGAGCCAGAGCTGCCCCTGGGCAGGCGATGGCCCCACGCCATCATACTGCAAGTGTTGCTGCATCTGCATGACACAGTCATGAGGCTACTTCCCCATCTGGACCCAGACCAGAGGTATGAAGGGATCGTCCGTCATGCAGCCCCACTGCCCTTGCCTCCAAACTTCTTTGGGGACAGGCGTTTTTGGAGGCTTGACACCAGCTCTGACTGGTGGGACCGGCTCGTTATGCAGCTCTGGGATGACC